TATTTTTCTGGAGGACAGAAAACGGAAAAGGCCACCACCAAGCCCCATGCAAAAGCTTTTTGGGGATGGGGATGGAATTCAGCAGACATAGCAGTGGAGCACCTATTTCGAGAGGGGAAAAAGGAAGACTTTGGACTCAAGGTTAAGATATGCCTTGTAAATCATTCCACTCCCTGTGGGGAGCCTTGTCTGAGGTTGCTTCTGGCATTTAGCATTCCCTGCAATGAGACCTTGAATTAGCAAAGCAAGTTTTTGAGTTAGCAAAGAAAGCTGGTATGGCTGTGTGTTTGGGATTCAGTGGCTGGATAGTGAATATATGCAGACATAGACTCTGTGTACGCATAGTTGCTGCATATATCATTTAAGGGAAAATGAGTGTGTATGAGACATACTATATGATGCTATTTTTTTGCAAGGGTTAAATGCTATCAGCTTTGGTGGGGAGACTGGTTAATTTGTGCTGTCCAGTCACTGGCCATGAGTAGCAATACTTGTTCGACCCAGGCCTGTGCCACAAAGGGTGGTAGGCAGCTGCTGGAAAAGGGATTTTGTGACAAAGTTGTGGGTTTGATCCCAGTGTGGGCTCTTCACCTAAGAGTTGGATTTGATCTTTGAAGATCCCTTCCAACTCAGAACATTCTGGGATTCTGTGAAAGCAAATGCTTATGGAGAGGAGAATGACACAGTCTAGGAGGTTTAGATGTGGGCCAGTTCAGTACAAATTAGACCGTGACAGGTGAACAAGTAAAAGTGATCTTTACAGGAATATTGGTGTTCCCTGAGCCCAGGTTAGCAGTTAGACTGACTGAGACCATGCCACATGGGAAGAGGTACATTACAGTTGCTTGGAAGAGATAAAAGACCCTACTGTTCTATGCTTAATCTCCATGAAAGTGTATTTACTTTTGTAAATACACTTTTATTTGTTTTGGGTTTTTTTTTCTTTTTAACACTTAATCTGATGCAAATTTGGCAAACAAAACCTTCATACATTTTGTTCTGTAAAGCATTTCTGTAAAGCTCAATTTTTTTTCAGTCCAGAAAGTAACAATAGCAGTAAAGCATTTTGTAGGTTAAAGAATATTGAGTTCAAGTGATCAGGTATAGCCTTGAAGAATCTGACATAGTGTCCCCAGACGCTGGAAGGTAAATTGTAATATTAAAGTTATTTTAAGGGGATTCTGGAGCATAGAGGACCTTTACTATGTGTCTCATATGTATGTTGTTATTTTGATTAAAATCTGACATTTTTATTTTTTGAACTAACATCAGTGTCTCCTGTTAACACATGCAGGCTGTAGGAACTGACTGCAGCTATTGGTTGTGTTGTCCTCCTTCAGCAAATGTCAGGTTTACTAATAAAATTGCTTTCTTGCCTCTTTTAAAATTTGTTTTCAGACTGATGGGTTTTTTTATCTCACGTGGTTTTCTTGCTATTCACATTACATTTAAATCTAATGTTGGCTGCATGCCATAGAAACTGTAATCCACATCCAGATCAGTTCAAAGGCTACATGGAGCTTTTTCTCTTGCACGAGCAGTCTGTTCTCCAGTCTTTTCTAGGGATCCTACCTTTGCACAGTTTGTTCTTTTTGGTTAGCCAAAAGGAGTGCAAGTCTCCCTGGCAGCCCTGGAGCGTGGGCCAGTGACCCATGTCACCAGCTGGTGGAACACGGCGTGGCTGCTCGTTGTCAGTCAGGAGCTTGTTTGGGGAAGCGCCGATGTTCTGAGCACCTTGTTCAGGGAGGCGCCTCTCGGGCACTGGTGCCAGCTGCTCAGGGAGAGGGGAAGAGAGGCTGCCCCGCTCTGCTCTAGCACCACTCTGCTCTGTCACTGTGCTGCAGTTACTCTGAGCCACAGTAACAGGGCAGCAGTGGCATGGTCTGATTGAAATTTCTGCTAAAGAAGGAAATGGTAACATAACTGACCTGTTACAGTCAAACAGACCCTGGTGATAAATGAAAATATTTCTGGTTTTGTCTCAGCCAGCATCTGATGTGTACCATTTTTGTGGTTTGACTTTGCAGACGAATGTTGCTTTTGGTGCATTTTCTGCAATAACCTGGCATGTTCCTTTGCAAATCCACACATCTGCAGATGGCTTAAAGAAGGAAAGGACTGTTTTACGTGGAGCTTCGTAATGTAGTTTCTGGTTGTCATCATTTTCAACACATCTGACCAACTCAATTTCCTGTCTTGAATCAACTTTCATTTCATTAAGTCCCAGGTTCTCATTTCTGTTGGTTTGCCTGAGCTCTCTGGGCAATCTGTTTTCATTTTAGTCTGAAAGACACTAAGTTTGGAAAAGACTCAGTCCTCCCAGGAGAAGGGTCTGTACTTATTTTACTCCAAATGATAATGTCATAAGGGTTTAGTAGTTTTTATTTTACTTTTTGTTTGTTTTAGTTTATAAAGTTCCACTTTCTTACAGAAATACTGACAATTTGGACAGTCATGACATTGGTATGTTTAAACTCACAAGTGGGCTGCTTTTTTGAGAACGCTAACAATGGTCCAAAACGGATAACAAATCAAAGTATAGCAGTCAGCTGTAATGGTTCTGGGTCACCAGAGCTTAAAAAAATTGTTGTTAAACTCTTTGAGAGTTTTGTATTAGTGGCTCTTGTATTGCAGCGGCAACTCTTTCTGAACTGATGTCGTGATAAACCTGCACTGGCATATTTGAATGTATGAGTGGAGCATGTCTGAGCATCCCAGCCCACCCAGTCACCTGTGCAAATTCCTGCAGAGACACTGAAGATCAAAGTGCATGTTGAAAGGTAATATTTTTATGCATTTAACTATGCATAACATAGATATACACTTCTTTGATCTTAAAATCATATTTTGGCTAAATGCCTGTATCCTATTGCAGGAATGCTAGTATTTCTGCTGATTGTTTCTGAAAATAGTAAAAAAAGTGGCTGCTAGTGAGTCCTGTGTTCAGTGTATTGCAGCTTACATAGTATTTAAATTATATTTTTATGATTAATTTACTTGAATAACTTGCTAACCTATTTTAAACAAAACTCAAACTCTTCCCTGTGTGATTTTTTTTAATGAAGTAACTATCTTAAACTTTAAAATAAGAAATTGTGTATTTTTTTATATACTAGTATACTGTTACTTGTCCTAAGTTCCCCCTGTTTTGGCAACAACCTTTGGTTTTGGGAGACTTGCAGCAGTAGACGTCTTTCTCCCATGCGATTATCTTGGGAAATAAAATTAGTGCAGTTTGTGATGGCACTGTTACGTCATTCAGAAAGGGGACTGTTTTCTGTTGTAGTATGGCTGAGTATTGAAAACACTGTCAGCCCAACACCAGCTGCTGACGGCTCTGGCACTGGCAAAGGAAGACTCAAAGCCCAGGTTCTCTGCTGCAGTCTCCTATTTTCAATGCAGTCCGCATTTTCCCAGCCCCATCCACAAATCTCTCACATGGCTTTTAACAAACAAATATCTGCTCGTGCACTCAACAGTAGCAAAAGATCAATGCTCCTGCTTCCCATTTTCATAGGGAAATAGGAAAATTGCTCCCCCATGTACTTTAATCCTGTTCTGACTTTAGAACTGAACAGAAGGAGATGTTTCATAAATAAGCTTAAACTTGCTTTTGTTTCAGACAAGCTAAAGCTACTCAGTTCTTTAAATAAGACTGAATAATTACTTTTCCTTAAAGGGGCTCAACGCAACTGCCCATGTTGCAATTCAAATTACCAATTTATGTTAACATCTAAATTAACATTATTTAGCATTTAACTGGTAAAACTTCACATCAGACAAATGAACAAAAAGTGGTTTGTCTACTGCTACACATGTACTTTGGTACCATGCAAATATCTGGAGCTAGCTTAGGTACTGAAAACAGCATCTGGAATTCCATATTCTACCCAGGGCATTTAATTTAGAAGTTATGAATGCTCAAATGAAATGTAAGGTCAGTCAAGTTCCACTACAGCCTCAATTTTGAGTGTTTTGTGAAAAAAAGTTTTAAAAATGGCAGGGTAATAAAAGCCTTAAACCACTGGAGATTGTTTTGGCTACTCAGATTAGCTCAGACACCTATGAGCAGCACTTAAAACAGTGCCAGCATGCAGCTTACAGAACTTTATTAATTCAGAGCTTGCCATCAAATTTCTGCTCACAAAAGTCATCAAGAGAGAACACTACCTTTTCCAAATTGAAATGACTTGACCAGCACCATTAAGGAATTTCACAGAGTAGACACTAATGCAAAGTTGGGAGAGGAAAAAAAAGGGATATGGACACATACACCCTATCAAAATATGGTTTCCTTCTGATGCAAAAAAAAAATTTAAGCGAGCAAGGGGGATCTAACTGCTTAAGTCATTTAAGGGAACTAGTCTTTGAAGACCAAAAACCTGTTGAATTTGTAGTAACTTCTGCGCATCAAACTAGTATATCCAAACATGCTCTACCACTCTTGGCACATTGACAGCTCTAAACACCATGGACTGTAGTGCATTTGAATGAATTTCAGTCATTGTTCATATGCAGTTTGATATTGGTCAGTTAAAATGCCAGACTAGATTTTACTTTTAAAAAGCAGACTATTCAAGTATTGCCTCTTATTTATCGCCCTGCTTAACAAAATCACAAGACAAAAACATGGAAGAAAACAAAACCTGAACTAAGAAAGACTCAAAATGTTAAAGCAAATGCGACTTCAGGTTCTCCACTTGCCAAGCCACAGATTAAAATCTGTCCAACGGGTACCCAGTTTCCCTTCCCCCTCCAGGTGTGCATCCTCAGAAGCAGCACTGCTTTGCACGTACCCACTTGTACAGCACATATTTGGAGTGTTTCAAGATCCATAAAAGTCCATTAAATTATTTTTACTATCAATGGAAATAGATATGAGACCTCCTGAAGGAATTCAGTGTAACATTCCTCAGTATACCAGGGACTTTCTCTTAAAATTGAAGATTCCATTTACGCACTTGACAAATGATCACAGTTCAGCCATAGACACAGCAACATTTTTGCTTGGCATGCTACAGCAGAAACTTTATTCAGTTCTTTTTGAAAATATTTGCAAACAAAATTTATTTTTGTAAACTCACAGAAATAAGCTTTAACATATAGGCTCTACACAACTCAAATACAGGTAATACTTTTAACAATAACTTACAAATACAAACCTAATGATAAACTACAATTTCACAAAGAATTGTAAACATTTTGCACAATTGTCAGTCCTTTCTTTTAGGCAAAGTGCTCTTTTGATGACAAATAAATTAACACACACATAACTAGAGCAGACTACTTCCAGACAATACAAAAAGGTGTTTAATAAGGCTTGTAAACAATTAATAGTTACTTATGCAGAATCCATAAAAGTGTCTTGCAGGCTAAATAGATGTACATACCTGGGCAAAAATTTTCTTGAAAATGCTCTGGGTGTTAAATAAAAAGTTAACATTAATATCTTTCCAATTATATTTTCAATACACTGTGACTTAAGGTTACATCTTTAATAGTTTAGATCCCTGATGAAAAGGAATTAGGTGTGACTTAGTGGCAGCTGTGTCATTGAATGGGGTAGCAAAGGCTGAAGTCCAAGAGCTGTAGGAGAATGAGCTACAAAAACAGAAATATTTCCAGTCAACTTCATTGAAAATAGCACAAGATTAAAAGTCAGTGAATCCACTTGGTAATGACAGTTCACTGTCCCAACCCTGCAGCATGTTGTGTTTTTCCTAACCCAGCATCTGCACTCCTCCCCAGTTGGCCACTCTTAACCCCACTGCTCTGGAGGAAAACAAGCTCAGGCCACAAATGCAGCTCAGCCTGGTTATCCCAAAACCTTCACAATCCTCCTAATCACAAATAGGACCCAAAGTTGTAGACTTGCTGGGTCATAAGACAAACGAAGATTGAAGCACTTTTCACCACCAGCCTCTCCCACTCTCTCCCATTGTGTGTTACTGAGAGGAAAGCTGAAGCTTTCAGGGAATTTGCTGGATTGAGCATACTCACAGTCCATGGGACAAAAGCCAGGGAGCAGGTGCCAAACAGTTTTCATTAAAATTAAATGTTATTAAAATATGTGAAGTAAATGTTTAAATACGTATTTAATTTCTTATTCTTGTTTTAATAAACCAGAAGAAGCACAAATAGTGGTCTTCATACTCAGATCTTCAGCCATGCTGTTGCAGTGAAGGTCTACTACTTTCTTAATGAGGTGTAGATAGCAAGTACAGTATTGATATATCCATTAGGTTTCTTTAATCAGAAAGGTAAACTGGTTTTGCTACAGCTGATAACAGTTTTATGAGGAGAAAAATAGCAAGGCTGTTATACCTACCATCCATGTAGCTGTGCAGAGCAGTGAGCATAGTCCCATCCTGGGGTACATATGCAGAGTATGCCATTTCTTCTAACATGGGTGGAGACAACCTGGAGGGCTGGACTGCTGTGACGGGAGCAGTGGACGAATGATTAGGACTAACATGTTTCTTATGGCGTGCTCTGCAATTCTGAAACCACACCTGAAAAAGAGGGAAACATACATCGCATTGATAGATCACATTCAATACTAGCACAACAACAACAACCTTGGAGTTTATCTTAAGCTGAGTTTGCATAGTTCATTTGGCCTTGGATGCAACGCTGACATTCTAAACACACAAGTGTGGCCAAGTCAGGAATACATTTTCAGTAGCCAGCAGCCCACCAAGGACAGGGACAGGGCTGGGCATCTCCAGGGCCGGTGTGCCCAGGCCAAGAAACATCACATCACCTGCAGCCCGGCTCTGCTGGCACCCAGCGCCTCCCAGCCTCCTCCCTGCCTGGAGCTACTGGCAGCAAAGCATCCTCCACATACAGTGCACCCACTTGGCCTTTTCACATGGACAAGACTTCCTTTTTTTTTTTTTTTTTTTTTTTTTTTTTTAAGGATTGATTGCAGCAGCCAGATACCTCATTTCTATAGAAACACTCTGTCAATCTTCCAGGCTAGAATGAGCCAAGGCAGCTCAAAATTAATTTTTATTTATATTAACATATAAATATAGAATTTGTATTATAGTTTTAAAATCACATTTGTGTATGTGATTTTAAAAAAGTGCATCCATATTTTTGCTGAGAGACATCTTCAAGCAAGGATTCAGAATTTGTGTTTCAGTTTTGGTTGGCATGGGTGCATATTTTAACTCTGCTCTCTATAACAAGTGACTAGATATTCACTTGTTCCTAATGTCATACCACAGACGCTTCCAAAAAGAGTGCAGGTCTTAAGAACAGACTACTGCAGTCAAATATATATTTGAAATAAATTATTACCAATTTCTATACTGTTTAGGCTGAGAAATTTCTTCCTAGAAGACTTAATTCCTTCACACAAAGTACAAGAGGAATATAGCAAGTTTTCCAAATTACGATGCTTGTTCTAGACCTATTCCTGACTAAGGATGTTGTCCAAAGTTAAAAGAGATTAGGATCTTTTTCCATGTTAGAATAACCTCAGAAAAAAATTTGGTTGAACATTTCCAATGGATGAGTACCAGACTGTGAGTCAAGTAACTTCACACTGTTACCTGTATAACACGCCTGCTCAAGCCTGTTCTTTCTGCCAGTTTCTGAAGTGTTTGTGCATCTGGATTGTTGTCCTGAGCAAACTGTGCTTGCATAACCTGAAAAGGCAAGGCACGAAACTGTAGGAGCATTTGTATCAAAAGCCACATTAGACAGTATTTTCAGACTACAGTACTACTCCTTGCTTGTCTTCAGGAAACGTTTTTTGTGATCACTAGTCTCTAGAGAGTACTCAATACATAAAAAAAAAAATCTCCCAAAGCCAAAGTACGTCCTTGCTATGCTTGACTGAGCTGTGACATTTATCAGAAATTAAAGAAATCCATTCTGCTTGGCAGTAGTAAAAACTGGAAGAAGTCCTCTGTAAGACTGTGTTAAAAGAACTATAGGAGAAAATTTACTGCAGAGCAACTCAAATATGCTCAATAAACACCTATAGCAGCAGACCACAGCATAAAAAAGGCATGAGCCATGATCCATCACTCTGAACTTGTCAATCACTATCTGCATCCTATGTTAAATGGAGTAATTGATCTTCTTTTCATCTCCATGGAGGATACAGGAATGCTCTGTTTCCTTTGTCTTTTACCACCCCAAGAAACAGGCTCCACTGTGGCTAACCTGGCCTTTCTGACGGTTTGGCCACTCATCTTTTGACAGAAAATTGAAGTAGTCAGCACTTCTCTTAAGAATATAAATTACACCTTTTTTTCTGAGGAAGAAAATGTCAATTTGGCCTGCATCCTGAAAACTTTCACAGGCTTTAAGGATTCGGCCTGTTTGTGAAAGTAGGGCTTCATGGATTTCTGCAGGGTATCTCCAGCAATTTCAAAGCATTATTTTGTTTTTTGGATTTTTGACCCATCAAACTTTGCCTGACTTCATCTTTGAAGATTCAAACTATTTACTTTTGTAATTTTTCATAGAATCATAGACTGGTTTGGGTTGGAAGGAACCTTAAAAGCTCACCTTGTTCCAATCCTATGCCATGGGCATGGACACCTCCCACTCCTCCCACTGTCCCAGGTGCTCCAGCCCCCGTGTCCAGCCTGGCCTTGGGCACTGCCAGGGATCCAGGGGCAGCCACAGCTGCTCTGGGCACCTGTGCCAGGGAACAATTCCCAATTCCCAATATCCCATCCATCCCTGCCCTCTGGCACTGGGAGCCATTTCCCCTTGTCCCGTCACTCCAAGCCCTTATTCAAACTGCCTCTCTGGCATTCTGGGAGCCTTTTCAGGTCCTGGGAGGTGCTAAAGAACAAAACCATCAGAAAAGTGTGGACATTCTTTTGTACAAGTACTTTGTGAGGTAATTACATGCTGCCAGCTCTGACAGTGCACTTATCCCAACGTTTCTCTTGTTGGAAATAAAGTCTTATAGCAGCCTTGAGGACAGGTACAGAGGTACAGCAAGCAGAGAGAAAGTAACATGAACTAACAAGATGCCATAACACCTCAAACACCTGCTAAAGTATGTTACAATCTACTTTTAACGGGAAAAGAAGGGAACATGGAAGTTTGAATGACAGCAGCTGCGAAGAACCCCTGAACACAGTTCCCATCCTAATGGCTGGTCTTACCTCCCTTTCAGCTTCTGCTGGGCAAAAAAGTTCCCTTTTCCTGAAGTTCAGGCTCAATGTCCAGAGCCCTTGGCCTGTGCACCCAGTTGGATTATTGTTTACATGCTTGTTTTGTGTTTTAACACCACCTCCTCTCTCCAGTCATGACTATAATAGAAGCTTTGAACAACTTCATGCCCTTTTTTATAGCACTACCTTAACACCTCACATGTTATTACACCTCAAGATGAATTTCTCAACTGCTTTCACTATTAGAGGACAAGCCAACAAAATAAGTCACATTGTTACCAGAAAGTCAAAGACCTGTTAAACTGAAGGCAGGGATGTACAGCCAGGATTAGGTAGAAAGTCACAACTTCCTTCTCACTACAGGTTAAAACCTCTAAATCTTGTCTCAGCATCCCCTCTTTCATTGGAATCTGGCCCTATCTTAGAGTTTTTCCCTAGAAAGCTAATTCAAGTGCTTATCTAGAGTTTGAAGTAGCTCTAAACTGTCTCAATAGAAGTTAACTCTTGTCAAGGCAACAAAAAGACAAGAAACCTGGAAAGTGGAGGAGATGCAGGCGCTACAACAATTCCAACTTCCATCTTATTAATGTCTTGAAATCACATACAGTACCCATCTTCAGAAAACTCTTCACATTACATAATCTAAAAAATATTTTGTTTTTATTATGCTTAGTGATGTAAATGGCTGATTAAATAGATTTCATCGAGCAATCAAATAGAACCACCTTTTTTGTTTCCACTCTTCAGAATTACAACCTTCCCCCAGGGAAATAAAGAGCTTGAAGAGTACTATTTAAACTTCCAGAAACATGCTGTGTCTTGATAGTTTATGAAGTAGTTTAAAGCATTCAAGCTTCTCTTTCCCCCTGTATGCATAAAACTTTCTATTGGTTCAGCACCCATGTCCTGCTTAACCTGAGCTACACAAGTTTTTAGCACTGTCTCTACCTGGAGCTGATCTGCTGTGAAGCTGGTCCGAGCTCTTTTTGCTGGTTTTGGATGATTAACATCTTGTTCTGTTAGTAATGCTCCTTCCACACTAATCCCATTACCTGAAACATTAAAAAGAAAACAACACTGCCTTCTAAACATTCACAATGTTGCTGTAAGTCAGGTTGTTCTCCAACAATAACCAACAGTAGTTGGTCAGCCGAATTTCAGCTTAAAAAAACCCCACAATCTATTCAAAATTCAATTGATCTAGCATCATAACACATTATGCCCTAAACAACTCCCTTGCAAGTGGGGGAAGAAATAAATCTAACATGATATTTTATCAACAGGATATGCTGATATTTTATTTTC